ATGCAAACAAAATTAGAGTGCGTGAGAGTTGTTTGGCTTAGCGGCAACATCAGCTGGCAGAAGCTGGCACTGGGGCTAATTCTGTCAAGTCAAACTACAGAACTACCTGGAGAGTGCATAATCCAGGAGTGAGAGAGGCCTGGGAGGGAAATAGTGGGCTCCTCCCTCTTGGTTTACCACTTCCACTGGAGGGCACGAAAAGTAGTACAGGGTCTGGGGTGGCTAGACATACACCCAACAGCATCTGTGTGGGTTGCATAGTGGAGCTGGTTAGATGGAACAAAGCTTTAATACCCATTGGCATGTATGAGAACCAAATGGGGTGTGGGACAGATTGGACAGACTGGACTAGTCTGTTGCACGTACTGGCAAACCAGGGTAGGGAGCAGGCCTGCTGGAGGTTATTGTGGGTCTCTCCAACTAGCTACCACTGGTTTATGTGAGGGCCGAGTGTATGCTGGGCAGAACCAGGCTGGACTGCAACACCCATTGGTTCCAGTGGAAGTCAGGGCTGAAAACCGAACCAACCCAGCGATTGCTACCACCAACTGATTGGGGCAATGGACTGTGCTGAGCCCTGTACTTGTTAGTACATACAAGAATCTGGTCTGGGAACACCTCAGGCAAAGTTTCTTTGGAGATCTCCTCAATCAAAATGCTGAACTCTGAACCCTAACCAAGAAAAGACAGAAGACAACAAGTCAATCAACCACCTCAGCTATTTGTTGGCAGCGAAATACAAGGCAAACAGAGACTCTATGATGGACTATGTCAATCAGTGGATTCTTCAGCGACCTCATAGTGCTTGGAGTGACAAGATTGGCAGCGATTCATAACTGGTGAACTATCAAAACCACTTGAGCAAGAACCTCAGAACATGTCCTGTATCCAGGACCTGGGGTGGGTGGGAAATTGGGTGGGCCTTCTCACTCAATATTCCCCTTTAAATATGAAGGAAACAATATGGAAATAATAGTCTTACCCACTTTCCTATAGCCCTTGAACCTTTTTACCCTAATTAACTATGTAAAGATTGTCAATGATATAATTAAAAAATAATTAAAAATTTTTTTTTAAAAAAATGACGGTGCTTATACCAGGATGGTTGGTTGAAAGGACAGTGAAAATAAGTTGATAGTCTCTGAGTTAGTTTGGATGAAAGGAAGGTTTTCTGAAACTTTGGCAAAGAGTAGGAGATGAAGAGAAGAGTTATAGACATTATTAAATAGACTTTCTATAAAGCAAGGTTGTGGTGGCTTACTGAAGAACTGGTTATTGAGAACCAGGACAGGGCAGGAGCTTGCTTTAGGACTTGTTAACTTGTGGCTCTCAGGAGGATATCTCTTGCTTATTGGAAATATGGGAAAAAGACTAGGCTAGTGATATAAACTTGAAAATTATGGGTACTGATGAAGTATTTAAGACCAGAGATTAAAAGACACTATATAGGAGAAACATGAAAATTATAAGAAAAAGAGTTCCAATCACTGAGTCCTGGGATCTTCCAGGACAAAAATTAGAGAAATAGCAAAGATGTAACACAAAGATCAGAGGCTTACCATACACTTAATAATATGGAAATCCTTGTCTTAATTAGGTGCAAATTCAATTAAAGAAAATGTTTCACTGTGTCTTAACTTTCTTTACATCTTTAAAATATGGAATCTGTAAAAATAAGAAAAATCACTATATTCTATGTTAAATTATCATTTTTAAACCAAATTATTTTAGTATATAAAGTACATACATTTTTGTAAATATGTGTACTTTAATCAATCATAATATCAATAGAAAATGCAAAACAAATTCTAGTTTTGATTACAAATGGTTTACATGTTATTAATATCTTGCAAAGTACGTTTTATCCAATGTTTTGTCTTGTGGCTTATCTGACTGATAGCTGATCCTAGTGGACTCAGTTTCATATCACTATAAAATAGTGTTTAGCTGCATTCCTCTTATCTAGATAATTAAATTATATGCATAGCTTTCCATTTAAGAAGCTATAATTATTAGAATATGACATGTTTAAAGAGTAAGGCACTGAAAAGTTAGATAAAATTTATGTATACTTAAAATTATTTTATGGATGGTGATATCTTTTCCCATGCCATACTATTTCATGGATACCAACGTTGGTTTTATTGAGGAAAATCAATCTTTCAGGCTCACTAGGGAAGGTGTTCATCATTAAGACTTCATGCACACAACCAGTGTCTAATATATGACTGTTCCAAAGGAGACTGACTGAGCTGCAGGAGGCAGGGGTTAAGATTGGGTCCTGTGATGTATTATGGGTGGAGAGGAAATCCGTTAGGGGGGATAAGATGACAGAATGATGAAAAATATTGGCCAAACAAAACTATGAAAAAGAAGCCAACACAATTGATAAAGAATATAAAGAGGAAATGTAAACGTAGCTTATAAAAGAAGTGATTTGTTTTTTAAAAATCATTTAAACTGAACTAATTGTAAGCGTATTTGGAGGCCAGCATTTTTAGAACATATCCACATTTGTTGAATAATGCATATTTCCCATGATGTGCTTTGAAAATTTCTGGTAAGGACGAATTTCAAAAAATGTTACCCTCAATAATCTTTACATTGTTTCCCTATGAAATCCTTCATATCTTGCCCTACAAAAATTAGATCACCTTAAGGGTAAGTTTTATACACATTATGCAGGATGTTTAAGAATTTTGAGGGGCTGTCAGAGTCAAGGCAGGGGTAGCAGTGACTCTAAAGATGCTCAGTTGTCCATTATAATCCAGAGATCTTCAGCTGCTTACTACAAATACTAAACCTATTGAAGCAGAATTTCCTGGTATTGCCAAGGAACCCACCTTTTTAAAAAAATGTGAGCATACAGGCTTTGTCTTCATATGTAAGTGAATTTTATGCCATTCAAATTTGGGCACCACTTAACACATGAGTCATAAATCTCTGAAATATACCTAATAGAGTAAAATATAAGAGGATCTGGACTTTAAAAACTAGGTATAAAAGATAATGATCATAGGTCATAGTCAGGAATAAAGTAACAAAGAATGGCCAAGAAAGAATGAGATGAGGTAAAGAAGGAAGGCAGTAATGATAGGCATCACAGAGAATGAGTAGGATTGAGTAAATGAGAAAGCAGTGGTGACACACTCAGAGGGCCATGTGGAGAACGTGACAGAGGCCACACGTGACCAAGCATTCTTGTGTGCCAGGGACCCAGCCACAAAGTAGGCCTATCGGTACCCCTACCAGCACACAAGCAAGGTGCTGCTCACATCACAGGCACAGACCAAGGAAGGAAGATCAGGGAAGAGCCACCATATCTGCTGATAGCTGCTGGAGAGCAAAAGTTGTCCACTTTTTGATGACTCATAAATACCTTTAAATAATCATCTCCTGCAAAAAATGTCACAGATTGGTTTGATCTACTAAAACTATCCTGGGCTGAACTACCCAGTCTGGCACAAAGGAACAAAGGGACACTTCAGAGTGTGATTTCTGTTGTCTAGATTTTGGTATGCTTCTGTAAGAGGTGCTCACCTCATGAAGAGATATCCTTTCCTTTTTCTTTCTTTCTTCCTCCTCTTGCTTGTGATTTCTCATTCACCTTAATTTGCATCAAAATATAAGTAAAATGTTTCAACTTCTTTTGTCCTCTTAAGCAGCTACAATTAAGAAACTGAGAGTAAATCAGATTAACAATGTGTTTCTTAGCTCTCATGAACATGTAACCCCCAATGGCGTCTAGCTCTATCTTCTAAATAATTCAAGCATCCAAGGACATGTGTTTTAATCATCTTATGACAACAAAAATAAAATCAGTAAATTATGAAAGGCACTCATTGTATGGTTGCAAAATAATATCTCCTGAAAGAGCCTGATAGTTTCCCTTGAAAAGCATCTTTAGTATAAAAGAAGGAAGAGGGATTTGCTTCCTAGATATTTATTTTTCTTGTTGGCCTCTAATTTCACCAAATAAAAGAATGTGATAATTTAAATAACTTAGCCATTAAATATGGTAGAAATGTTCAATCAATACTCAGCATAATCTGCAAGGTACAAGCAACAAGTGCTTTGACAGTTGAGTGTATATGGATGTGAGCAAAGTCATACCGACCATGCAAACGCATTAGCCATCATCTCTTCTGAGTGGCCAGTGTTATCTCTGTGTCTTTTTTTCTTTGCTAGAATGCTTCTTTCATCCTTCCTAAGGAAGCTAATCATTTTTGCTTTACTCTATGAATTTTTTCATAACATACTCAATAAGTTTCTCAGTAATGATGAGTTGATAATCTTCATTTAATAAACAATTTAGCTGCATTTTCAAAGTCAGATCATATACCACAAGAACAAGAGGTACAGGAAACAATGGAAATTTTAGCTGTGTTTTCTTATACAATAAAATCATCCATGTGGCCACTTGGGATTTATTTTATCTCCATTTATTTGCTGATAATATTAGCCACCATTTCCAACCCCATCTTCCCAATTATCATGGGAAGGTCAGTATATTAGATCATTTTATATGAGTGATCTCTAATCTTACCTGCCTTCTAGAATTATTTCCACAATTACTCCCACTTACTTAATAATGAAGCTGCAGGATGTACATTGTCATCCAGCTAACAAGTGGAAAGACAATATTTACATTGAGATTAACTCAAATATAACAGCTCACCCTTTTCTGTCTCTATTATTCATTTTATTATTCTATTATTCATGTTTATTATTCATTAATAAACATGTTAATAGGTTCAATATAATTGTTCTAGATATATAGACTCTTTGAAAAAAAGAACTGGATTATCCTGCCTAGTCCTAAAATGTACTTTGCTAAAACTTTTTAGGGTGTTGTAAACCTGTCTTGGAACAGTTCTTATCTGTTAAATAGGACATGATGTATTTGAGGCTGTGTTTATTGTTTAACCTGCTGTGTCAAGGGTTACAGGTTCTTTATTTGCGTGAGTATGTGTAACCTGTCATTATCTTTGTTGTTGCAGTACTGGATACCAGTTTATTTACTACTCACCCGAAAACACAGCCAAAGCAAAAGAAGTTCTGAGCAACATCAATCAGCTGCAGCCTCTAATAGCAACCCATGCGGACCGACTGCTTAGTTCTGCGAGCCAGCGTTCTCCAGACAGCTTGAAGAATTCTTTAAAAATGCTTGCAGAACAAGTAAGAGCCGAATCATCACCACAGTAGGCAAAATGAAGTATTCAATACCTACTGGTGTTGCTTTCAGCATATGTTATATTTCACTATATTGGTAAACGTAAAATAGAAGAAGTTAAAAGTAACCTTCAAAATACTGCTTCTGGATCAAAATGAATTTACCTCATATTTTTAAGATGCTACTGAACATCAGTTTTTCTTCTTAGCAGGAAGTTAAACCTATTATTTCTTGATGCATGTGTTTTTTCTTTACTTTGACATCCTTGGTTTTCTTTATTTATTGAATAAATTGGATGTTTGAAGATGGCTTTTCCTCTGATGATGATCTAGTTTCTCTGTGTACAAAGCCTCACATTTGAGGAAGAAGTCCTTTGTGTGAAGGCAGAACTTTTGTGTGGATTGCTGTTAGTGGCATAGGGCAAGTCTTCTGCCTCAGTATGTTTTCTGGTATATCATCATCTACTAGGAGAAGATTCCAAAGAGTCCTGAAAGTATTAGTTAGTATTTGGAATCTAGTGGAATTTAAATCTTCATTTTTCCAAATGTGCCTGTTTCTAAAAGGAAAAGAAGTCTGGTCTGTGGTTGATGCTTGGTCTCATCTTGTATAATAATTATAGGATGAGTGTGATGCAGAGAGAACCATGATGGGCCAAGAAAATGACAGCTTCATTTTAATTGTATAAAGCAGGTGTCCTAGAGGCTAATTCCAATGTTTTCATCCTTCACCTCTGCATTCTGAGAACACCTGGCGATTCATTATGGGACACATTTATTAAATATGTCCTTGAACAAATAGATTAAAAAAAAGTTCATATTGTGACTTTAGCCTTTGAATCTGTGTGGTGCTTCATCTCTTTGAGGAGCAGATTCTTAACAATAGGGGAAGTGTATATATGTGTACTTTTAATTCTGAGGTAATAATTTATGGTCACAATACCTTGTGTTTTTTCTACTTATTGGTTTATATTGTACACTTTCCTTATAACCGAAAGTCAGTATCTCTTTTCATTAAAAATTAAATATCAAATCTTCAGAAGCATCAAGTGAGCTTTCTCATAAGTTAAAAGGAGAATCCCCTAACTTAAGACATCCAGATTGAAATACAACTTTCTTTATATCCCAGAAAGAAGTGTCTCCACTATGAAAAGGGAGCAAAATATGTACCCACCATTCACAAGGAGCTCTTTTGTGTCATGGCAAGTGATTTCTCATCTTATGTCCATTTCAACTTCACAAAAATGGATCATACACAGAGAAAATGCCTAAGGCCATAGAATTTTAAGAAAAATTTGCCAAGTCATCCACCTAGAGTAAAGCCTAGAATTGGAACAAAACCTGGGTTACAACTGGAACTGGCTAGCTTTAAAATGGAATTTAATTTTGATATCTATTGTAATTCATGTGTTCTGACATTTATTTATTTATTTATTTATTATTTAAAATTATGGTGCACCAATTTCTTAGTAATCTAAAAATATTCTATAGGCCAAAAAATGTCCTTAGAGGCTGGGGGCGGGGGGGGTGAGAAGAAAATGAGTGATTGTTATGTAGAGTGAAATAGTAAAATTTCATTTTGGCATATTTCTTTCTAGGATTTCTATATGAGGTGAGATTTTTCTGGGATCACCTAAGCAGAACATTTTAGCAAATTGCCAGCACTGCAGTGATTACAGTGCAGTATTTATATTCTTCCTGAGTGTTGGACAGGGATTCGTCATTTCATACATCATTTACATCTTGCTGCAATGGTTGAGGCGGCAGCTTTCTGCTCCTTTAATCCAGCTTCGCCATGACTGCCCAAACCCCGCAGTGTTTTCTACTGAGCAGACAAGCTTTGTCTCCTCATAAATCTCAATCCTTGAAACCAAGAGGACTTTTTTTTAAAGTTAAATTTGTATTGTTTCATGAATGCATTCCTGGAACTTAAAAGAATTGCCTCAGTTAACAGTTTTGCATAGCGTGTGAAGACTCAACGTTGCCCATAGCTTATAACACACTTCAAGAATTCTGCATTTAAGTAAAATACTTGTAGAGATATCTTAAGTCACGGTTAAATATTAGCAATATTTAGGCTTAAATATTTTTTCTTTATTAAAAACACTTAATTATTTTACTTGAAAGCCGGGGGTGGGGAGGGGGAGAGAAAGAGGAGAGAGAGAGAGAAAGAGACAGAGAGAAATCCTTCATTCACTGGGTCACTTCCCAAACTGTTGGGATTGCTAGAGTTAAGCTAATTTGAAGCTTGACCCGGGAGCTTCTCTGGGCCTTCCGGTGGATGCATGGCTCAAGACCTTGGTTCATCCTCTGCTGCTTTCCCAGGTCATACAAAATTAGCTGAATTGGAACTGGAGCAGCTGGCACTCAAACCAGTGCCCATATGGGATTCTGGCCCTTGAGAAGTGGAGGATTAGCCTACTATGCCACTGAACCAGCCCTGCAGGCTTAAACATTTTTTTCTTTTAGTTTCATGAATTTTGCACAACATGAATTAGGAAATAAAATTATATTAAAAAAAAACTCATTTTCTCTAATTAAATTTATTGTATATATTTAAATATACATAATATAAGCTATGTTTACTTAATAAAATGAATTCTATAGTGAGAAAAAATCACATAATCGTCATTTTAGACACCCATTTTTACTGTTTTGTGGAAAACAGCTAAAAGTCTACTAATCTACGCTGAATCTCAGGTATAATTTCAACATTCTTAGTAATCATTTTTTGCTCTAGTTCTGTAGTCTTGTTTGTTCTGCATTGCGTCCTGTTATCTTCTCTTTCAATGTCATGTACTAACTCTGAATTGGTATATTTGGAAACTGATTTCTCTTTGAGGAATTCATCAGTTGATCTTTACAAGAATAACAGAAATTATCCACATTCAGACTTACTGGGAAACAGTGATATTTTATAGCCTTTGACCACTAGATTTCAGTTAAGTAAGATGGGATAGGCAGAAAGGCTGAGGAAGGATGTGGAGAGAAGTCTTGGACTTTTCTGTGAAGAGATGAGAGTTTTTTCCAAAGTAAGCCATCAAACATGGAGATGAGAATAACAGAATCAATTTCAACTAAACATATGCCCAGATTGTGCAGAAAAGCAAAAAGTACCAGGGAAATCGAGGTTGTTAAGGAAGCATATTCAGGGTTTCAGACTCACAGATATTTATAGATCCATGAGCAGTTCCCATCCTCTATGCTGCTACTTGGAACCAAGACTTACAGCTAATGTTGTCATACAAAAGTCAAGCCCTGTAAGCATCCATTTTCCTAAAATAAACAAACATCAGTATTTATAAAAAGTAAAATATTTCTTGAATTTAAACTGCTTGGTAGAGTCTGGGCATGACACAAAAGAACTGGAATGAAATAAGTCCCAGGTATCTTATTCCTGAGTAACTAAGGTTTTTGATGGTAATAGCTATGATAATAATGATAATGATCTTGGTGATAATAGTTAGCATTTATCTGACGGTTAATTACTTTGTAGCGCTCTTATAAGGTCTTCACTTTTCATAATTCTATGAGCTAGACAACTTTATTTTCATGGTTGAACCTTCCCAATTATATGAACATCTGGATTAAAAATGTGTGCATAAACATACTCTTTATGTATCTGTGAATTTCAACACGGTATGTCTTGAGTGCCATGATGGATGCTTAGACAAAGAACTGAGGAAACAAGGGAGTGAGTTGGAAACAACAAAGCTGAAATTTCACATTAATACTTATAAAAATATTTTCTACATTGTTTTCATGCCCTACGGTACACCAACTAAGGTAAACTGAATTATAAATTAAAAGTTTCTAGTAAATACTCTAATGGCTAGTTTGTGAAAATAATGAAGAAATCATTCACTTATAATACCAGATTCTAACATGGTAAAAATTCAGAGTTTATCTAAATAACCCCAATTAAAAAATGCTAAGTGAAAATTTTAGTATAAGATGTACAAGGATTAGAAAAGGGTCAGGTAAAAATGCAGTTTCTGTCCTCTGTTTCAAGATATGCTATTACACAATGACAAGGGAAGGGAAGGAATGGAAAGGCAATGGATTAGAAGTGAAGGGATAGGAAGAGAAAGAGAAAAGCTCAGGGAAGAGTGTGATGTAAAGAAACTGAAGCAGAAATAAGAAAAACAAATGCCTAAGTAGTCATAATGCACAGGGAGCTCTCCTTGCTGAAATCCCCATTGCTTTGGCCATTTCAAATGGATGTAGAAATGTTGCTTAGCAAGCCATCCTTATCATGCTCCTCAGAAGGCACTGTCAAGCAGAGAACTGAATTATATGCTTGATGCTATATAACAAACACTGCATAGGCATGGCCCTTAAATTTTGTAATAGAAGAATTTTAAAATATGGCTGTTATAATATTATTACTGGTATTTTCTTAAAAAAATCTTATAAATGTTGAAGGAAGCTCTAGGTATATTTGAGAAAAATCACAGCTTCCAATTGCAAATGTTTTTCATTCTTTAATATCCTATACCAAGCTAATCTATTATATTCAAAGCAAAATGAGATATATTTCTTCCCAAAAGTCAGCATTTCCTTAACGACCTTTTATTTTCTGTAATAACAGTGCCAGGAAGATAGGACAATATGCTAAATTAAAACTCTTGAGAATGGATTTCTGATTGGTTTTCATTGCAACCTCTCCTGTGTACATTCAAATTCCAGCAGAAAGGGAATAACTTAATGAATATAAGGAATTTCGTTTTCTTTTATGGTTGACGAAACTAAGAAGTTTAATGAGTACTTTGTAATAAGTGGTTTAGATGAAGAGAAGTTCCAGAGTTGATTTTTTTCTTTTCAGATTCATTGTTTTGAATTGTAAAGTTACAGAGACAGAACACTGGAAAGAAGGCTGATTCATTCCCTAAAATGACCACAGTAGCCAGGACTAGATCAAGCCAAAGCTATAAACATGCAATTATAGCTGGGTCTTCTACGTGGTGTCAGCGGCCAAGCAGGCCATCCTTTTTTTCCCTCATAGGCAC